GAAAAAAAAAAAAAAAAAAAAAAACCCCATTGACAACCCGCATGTTATTGCTACCAATATTTTATATTGCAAATTGCAGCAGCCCTTCTTTTGAGCTAGCAATTTTAAAATATACAACATACCATTCTCTCTCTCTCTTCATCTGTGAGGAACAAATATTCTCCACTGAAAACACCAAGAAACATTCTCTGCAGCAGCTAGCAAGGATCAAGAATAAGAAGAGATCCAGCAGCTGCTCTAATATTTCAGTAATCTGAACAGACCTCTCGCTCAGCTTCTGCATGGATACAGCTCACTGGCCTCAACAGGTAATAAAGATCTGATCTTTATCTCGCTTTTGATCTATTAATTGAATCTCTCGATCTGTATCTCCTGAACAAACTTAAATTTCATCCATGATTTCCTCTTCTTTTCATGGAAGAAAATATTGATTCTGTTGAGCTCTCTCATGTCAACTTTACCAATCTCCTGTGAACCAGTTCTCTCTCTCTTTCTCTCTCTCTTCCCATGTCTTTTCCCATGCCTATTGCCCAATCAAACTCTCCATTCCTCTAAAGCGCCCTCCTTTTCTTTTCCCCTAGCCTTTGTTTTTCTCCTTTCACTCCCACATCTCTCCTTTTAAGCTTCTTTTGATAAAAAGCAAAGAGTGGCATCAAAAGGTGATTGCTTTGTTTTGTTCTTATAAATCTCTGTCTTCTTTATCCCATCTCCCCACTTTAATCATCTCTTCACCTTTACCTTCTTCTACCTTTTCTTCCCCATCTGATCATTCATGTCCACATATACTCACACAGCTCTCTTTCTCTGATCATAATCTTCAGGGAATAGGTGTAGTGGAAAGCAACCAAAGACAAGCACAGATCCAAGTGGAGAGATCAAGGGTGAGACCTCACAAAGAACAGGCCTTAAACTGCCCAAGATGCAATTCCACAAACACAAAGTTTTGTTACTACAACAATTACAGTCTCAGCCAGCCGAGGTATTTCTGCAAAACATGTAGAAGGTATTGGACAGAAGGTGGTTCTCTGAGAAATGTTCCGGTTGGTGGTGGCTCCAGGAAGAACAAAAGATCATCTTCCTCTTCCTCCAATTCTGTCCCAACTCCAACCTTCACTTCCTCCTCCACACCAAAAACAACACTTCCGTCATCTTCTTCAACAAATCTACAGCCTTCCCATCAGCACATGATTCATGGTGTTGAAACCTCTAAGTTTTGCCAGGGAGGAGGACATGATCTTAATCTCTCCTTTGCATCAGCACATGATTCTGTGTCTGCGCTTGAATTGTTGAGGAGTGGGATTTCGGCTAGAGGGATGGGAACATTTGTGCCTGGATCAGTATTTGGAGCTGGGTTTGGGTTTCAGGAGCTGATGAGACCAGTTTCTGATGGCATGAAGCTTCATCCATTGGATGGAGTTGGGGGAACAAGTGGGTATGGTGGAAGCATGCAGGGGGAAGGAGATGGGAGGCTTTTGTTTCCTTTTGAAGATTTGAAGCAAGTAAGTATGAGTAATGGTGCTCTTGATGGTGTGGTGCAAGGGCAAGGTGATCCTACTTTGTTTTGGAATGGTGTAATGGGAAGCGGTGACGGCGG